ATCTTTCTGGGACACCATCCTTTATGGGTACAAGCGTGTGTGCATCTTATAATCAGTACTGGGGACCTTCTTATCCAGTCCATGGTTGTGACATTGTCCCTCAAGTGGGTGAACCACAAGTTCCTCACCCATCGCTGCTCCGCCCCCCCGCCGCCCCCACAGACATTCAGGTTGTTTCCAATCTTTCTCTGCCGTGACGGTTGGGTAGATGAACTGCCTCATTGTGTGGGTGACTCTGCGTGTGTGGGAATGGACAGGGGCCTAAATTCCTAGTGGTGGAAGTTCAAGGTCAAAGGTCACATAGCTTGGTATTTGGGAGGGGTTTTGCCCCACCGCACCTTGGCTAGGTACACGGCCCACCCAGCGTGAGTGTGGCCACCCCTGCCCACAGGTGGCCCCTGGTGGCTTTTGTGCTGATGGGATAGTGCAGAGGCTCTCAGGGTGGGTCTGAACTTGGGATTTCTTATCTTGCGTGGAAGGGATCCTCAGGGATGCTTCCCCTCAGGACCGCTCTTCCCACCCGTCTCATCTTGGCTGTGTCCCTCCCTCATCTTGGTTTCTTTTCACCCTCTGAGAAATGTGTGGAAAACCGTGTTTTCGGGGTTTTCTTTCAGCGTTGCTCATGGTGGTTTTAGCGTGGAAATTTTTCTCCGTTGACCTTAGTCAAACCGATCCTTTTCTTTTGTGGTTTGAGGGTTTATTGCCCATTTAGCGAGGCGCGCCCGGTCCCAGCGTTATTATTTAATAGCACCTCTGCTGAGATCTCATCCACACACTTCCAATTCATCGTGGTGAGGTGGACAGGTCAAGAGTGGCCTCTGCGCTGGGCAGCCCTGACCACCATCTAATTCCAGAGCACTTCCCTACCCCACAGCAGAGCCCCATGTCCCACCCCTCCCCAGCGGGACAGACCCGCCCAGGCTCCAGGTCTGCCTATCCTGGCCACTGCCTGTGCCTGCGTCTGGCGGGTGTCCTGAGCTCACCACGTTGGCCCTTGTCAGGGCTCACAATGGCACCACCATGAGCGCTTGGGCCACAGTCTGTCCAGTGGCCAGTTGATGGGACCTGGGTTGTTTCCATATTCTGCTATTTTGAGTATATTGCCAGGAGCACATCTCCTCTCCCCGGAGTGAGATGAGTCAGCTGGTCCTCTGGGGGACACTGTCCAGCTCACATGCTCACCTGCAGCCCAGGAGGCTGGAGAGTCTCACATCGCCAGGTCCTGCTGGGGTCACAGCCATCTTTGTGGTGAGGGTGTGGCTCACCGCGGCTTTGACTGGCATCTCCTTGGTGAGTGGTGCTGACCCCGCGCCTTCCCATGTGCTGACCGGCCAGCTGTGGGTCTTCTTTGGATCAATGTCCATTCACATTCTTTACCAGGGAAAGATTTAATATTTATTTTTTAGTTTCTCGGCAGACACAACATCTTTATTTGTATATGGTGCTGAGGATCGAACCCAGGCTGCATGCACGCCAGACAAGCACACTGCTGCTTGAGCCACATCCCCAGCCCTAGTTTTTATTTTTGAGTAGACATTTACATCATAAAATTAACTATATTATTATTATCATTAATATATA